GCATTCTTTTTTAGTTTATGTGAGAAAAACATTGATTTTCTATGTTTTTTATTCATGTATTACCATATTCTTACGCTTGTCTAAACTCTAACAGTAGAATAAATTTAAAATAATGTATGTACTTGAAATGATTTCTTTGTACATTGTAAACTTGCTCAAAAACATTCATATTATTGTTAGATATTTATCACGTAATATTTTTTCATACAATCAAGTTAAAAACTATGACGAGAATGTATTTTCTCACTAACAAGATTTCACAACCGTAAAAAGAGGGTGCGTTGAGTGTATTATGTCTCACTACGTCATTTTATGTTGCTGGAACGCTGTCCTGGTCCCGGATTTGAATCCCTGAATGGTGCAAAAATAACTTATAATACCTAGGTTAATTAGGACTTTTCTGACTCATTTCTATGTTTTAGATGGAAGAGACAAAATTATAAAAATGAAAATCATTATTCTTTAGTTAGGACAATCAGGTTGACTGAAATTTTGCAAAGACCTATCCAAACTAAAAAATACCTACTCAAAGTGATTAAAAATAGTCAATTTGGGTGTTCCTGGAATCGAACTGACGACCGGGTCGGAATGAAAATAAATGAATTATGTTATACCACGGTGTTATTAATGTGAATTTAAGGGTATAGGGTTGTGGACGCAGACACGCGACTTGACCCTATTCACGTCAAATTGAACTGAAAATGACGAATCACTCACTCTTAAAAGAATGGAAAATAACTAACAAAACCGAAGCTATATTTCTATGAAAGTTCGGATGTATGACAAGTGGTTCGACCTTCTAAGTTGTTTATTATTTAAAAGCTATCCTAGTTCAATTTGATCTATCTGACAACCCTATCAATAGGATTTGTAAACATGATTCCTAAGGTCTAAGTTAGAAGTAGGGCAGGGGTTCCAACACAAACATCAATTTAATCTTCCTGCAATCGATTCTATGTTTATGTCAATAACTGCAAATTCGTTGTTTTGTCGTAGTAAATTCTTTGAGCTACTTAATTTATTTGTTTTGACAAGTTTAACATAAAGATATGATTATTATATGGAAACTGCAGAATTCTTTTGTGGGGACTATAGTACAAAGAACCTACCTATACCTATACAAAATTGAAGATGCATTGTCATAGTTAAAACTCTCAAATATGTTTAAATTCCCATGTTCAACGTCTCAAGAAAGGGAGGCCCATCCCACGTCCCCATTATACTCTACACGTGGCGAAAACGACAAGGCCAGTGCGACGTAACTTCGCAACTCGCGATATTGCCAAACGGGGAATTAGCGATTGCAAATTAAAACTAAATCAAAAGCAAGCGCTGACGGATGGCGCGCTCTACATGCCATTTCTCTTTCTGTAAAACTATCTACTATCTCATTTCACCCCCCTCGTGCGCGCGTGTGCGTGAATTCTTGCTACCCACACACCCCCGGCCCCCTCAGCTTTCACGGTTCTAATTTTTGGGGAATTTGGGGCATATTCGTAAATATGAAATGGAAAAAATATTTCGCGGGCAACGTCATTTTGAACTTTAATGGCCAGCGATAGAGTCGAAAGAGGAACGGTTCGTGGTTGGAAAAAAAATACTTCATATGTCGTCCTTAAGACGGAGCGCTCGCTTCGTATGTGTGTACGGAACAAGGTGGTGTAGAGTCGCCGTTCGTTTGTTCTGATTTTTTGTTAATTAGTGGATTTTTATGAGTCGTTGTCTACTTTAGAGTTCTATATTTATTGATCTAGTCTCAAATAGGGCTGCACTTCGAAGTAAATGAGAAGTGGTAACTTAACACGGACGAAAATTTGAAAAATATGTCGAAATATAAGTTTTGGAAAAATCAAGCTGAATTTGCATGAATGTAGAGACAAATCTCCTGAAAATCTACTGAATCATTATTTCTTACTTTGCATTGCATAAAACGAAATTGACTGATGATATACACAATGTTTCAATTAGTTTCAGTCACTTCTTCAATTGCAAAATTACTCACAAATGTAAAGCATTGTATCTATTTTCGATGACGAGATTATTTTGCGAAATACCAGTAGCAAAACAATGAAAAAATATTATCGAAATAATCTACCAGGATGTTTAACTGCCTAGCTCGCATCAATATTTATATCTATATTTTTAAAGACTTTNACAAGGTGATATAGAGTCGACGTTCGTTTGTTCTGATTTTTTGATTAATTAGTGGATTTTTATGAGTCGTTGTCTACTTTAGAGTTCTGTATTTATTGATCTTGAAATTTCTAGACTCAAATAGGGATACACCTATAAGTATTCTTACTATGTTCCGGAAGTAAATGAGATTTAACCTAATATGGACGATTACTTTCACGAATGGTTTGGAATCAAGCTGAATTTGCATGAATGTAGAGATAAATCTCCTAAAAATCTACTGAATCATTATTTCTTACTTTACATTGCATAAAACGGACTTGACTGATGATTCACACAATGTTTCAATTAGTTTCAGTCACTTCTTCAATTGCAAAATTACTCATAATAATGTAAAGCATTGTATCTATTTTCGATGACGAGATAATTTTGCGAAATACCAGTAGCAAAACAATGAAAAAATGTTATCGAAATAATCTACCAGGATGTTTAACTGCCTAGCTCGCATTAATATTTATATCTATCTATATTTTAAAGACTGTAAACCCTTGAAAAAGAGGCTGACAATAGTGACTGAGTTTCTTGCGCCGCTTCTTCTCAGCACTGGCCCATTTATTGTCCTGAAGAAGCGGTAGGGTTAATACTGGGACATGAAAAAGTGCATTTTAAAAGCCTACTTGCAAAATAAAATGAGTTTTATGAGTATTTTGCGATCGGTGTTTCCCCAACTCAATATCTTAAAATCAGTTCCTGTAAACAACCTGAAACAACGACTCCACGCGTCCCCTGTGCCATCACCGGTAATATATATAGCTCAACTCGTAGCTATGCGAACAAATATATTATATTTTCCTATATGTTAGTTCCATCATTTATACTTTATTACTATATATCTGAACAACTATTTATATATAAAACCAAGTGTTTGTCTCTGCAAACAGCGCGCGTGTGTGTGCACACAGACAGGCAGGCTCACAATAGAGGAACTCAATTAAAGATTTTCCTAATAAGAAATAGGGAGATTTGGTACAACTGTATATGATTATTTTTTCCCCTTCGTATTAAGTTTTGTGTTTCTTTTGTCTATTATGGACGGTTTGGAGTATTATTGTTAGTTGTATTGATGCCTGTTTATGATATATTGTGATTTTCATCAGTTTAAAAGCTTGATTATTTATAAAACTGTTAGCTGCTCCCCGTAAATTCACTCTTGTGAATTTTGGTGATTAACACAGTAACTTATCATCATCATCATCATTTCAGCCATAGGACGTCAACTGCTGAACGGCCTCTGTTACCCCAATGATTTCAACAATGTCAGGTTGGCGACGACCTGCATTCAGTGCCTTCCCGCTACCTTATGAGGTCGTCGGTCCACAATAACCTAATGAAATCTAAAAACTATTTTGAAATGTCTACTTCATGTCTTCCAAACATAAAAACAGATAGCATCCGTAACATGAGAAATGATGAATTTTTCCATGCAAATGTTCCATTTAAGTTTTGTTTTGCTACAAAAGGAAGCTTGGCCATTTCCATCCAAATTATATTTCAATATCTCTCCAAATACTTTATACGTGTAAATTTGTTGCTGTTGAAAAATTAATGAAACATACTGTCACTTAGAGAATATAGGATTTATGTAGAGTTACTGATATTTGGACTAACTCACTAACCTGAGACATAATAAAGGCTCCATAAGAGCAAAACTTTAAAGTTTTTTTATTGCACTTTTTTTTATAATATTAATTTGATTTTTTGTAGCACTGCTTTAATAGTCTATGCAAATAAAGGAATTGTACTTTGAACCTTAACAACTTTGTACCTACTTATGATAAAGTGAACAAATAAACATTTTCAATTTCATTTTCTTTTGAAAAACTTTTTTTACATTTTTTAATTCTCCTTTCTATATGTTTATTTGTAATATTAAGTACCAAGTTATACTTAGGTAAGTAGTGTAGTCGTTACGCCCACTTTTATTAGTCTCTCAATAACTTTTTTTTTTTCAATATTCAAAGTGGGTACTTTTCTTTTTATAGAAAGAACGTGTTCTTTGTTGAAATGAGTATACAAATGAGATTAAATTGTTGTGGTAGAAAATTAAGCGTCCAAGTTACATTAACTTAAAAACTAAAATTTAAAAATTACTAATTAATAACATGTGTAATAAATTTTGCTTTGTTTCCTCGTGTTCGCTCCGGAAAATGGGAACAAATGACGAGGAACACGTGTTACTAGAAGTCGTGAAATTTAGCAACATCGGACGAAACAGTTTAAAATTAAATGGTAACATTTCATTAAACTTCTTCACTAGTCGGTTAAAGTTTAAACCAGACCACAAAAAAATGCGTAACTTTTGTTTTTATTTTAATGCTTAGGAATTATGAATTAAAAAATATAAATAAAAATAATAATCTGATAAAAAAATTGCGTACAATTAAAAAATTAAGAGTAACGCCATCTATTAAAGTTGATGGTAAACCATAAGCACTCATACACCCAATAGATGGCGCACACAAAGAATTTAGTGTAAGAAATAACTCATAGATGGCGCTAGTAAAGCAGAACAGCGCCATCTATATATTGTTAGTAAAACCACGTTCTTTAAATTGTCAACGCGTTTTTGTGTTAATCCAAATTAGTTTAAATATTAATTACTAGATGACGCTATTATCGAACATCATAAAAACTACAAAAATCATGTCATTTAACTAAATTGAAACAATTTTATTTCAATAAGATGGTACAATAATTATTCGATATTTTGTATTTACGAATTAACAATTTGTGTTGCAAATAAAATATTGTATCGCAAACACAAAAAAGAAAATAAAATTTATCTATGCATAAAAATGACGCTTTTGTCAAAAGTACGAAAACAATAAACCAAACAATAAACGCTGTAAAATTATTAAAAACATGTTCTTAACGAAATAAATCATGTATTTGCCTCAAGCTCCCAACAAAATGAAGATCAAGCAATAGTCTCCTGCCCAAAACTAAATGAAAGATCCGAACAATCCCGAGAAATGGATGTCTTGTCCCAGAATTGACACAGAGCACCCGGGCTTGGCCTACTTCTGTCCCCTGAACGAGCTGATAGTGGCCAAGAAATTGGACGCCTTGCACAAAGTGATAGGCAAAAAAGGCATTGGCTACACTATCTTCAACAATGAGGGGCAAAAAATATTTTTAGCCGTCCGAGAAAAAAGTTGCCGTCGATTCCAAGTGAAGATTTTCAACTACTACGGCAATGAAGTCATCGAAATTAAGAAGCCGAAGTATTGTGTGAATAAAGTCCACGTGTGGGCACCGCCGGGAAACTTTGTGGGCTACGTGAAACAAGTGAACCCTTGTGCAAACACTTTTCTAGTGAAAAACAGAGAGAAACAAGTTGTTTTGAAGATAAAAGCCCCATGTTTCTTTGGAGGTGTGTACGATGTGTTGTCTAGAGATGAGCTGGTGGGAACAATGAAGAAGCAGTGGAATGTGGAGGCCCTGGTCAATTACGACAACTTCGGGGTGTCTTTCCCGGTTGAAATGGAGGTTGGCGATAAAGCTGTGCTGCTGGGAGCTTGTTTCTTAATCGGTTATTTGAAATATTAAATCTTTTTTCAATTTTATCTACAAGAAATGTTTTGTTATAGACCATAAAATGGGTAATTATTTATTAGGTACGGGCAATGTCAATCTGTGTGCATCATAGGCCCGCCATACATGAGCAGCTCGAGCAGTTAGCCAATGATAAACATTTATACGGACCGCTCGAGCAGTGCAACTGATTCGGGCGGTCGGCCGCCCGACCGAATAAGTTGCAAGTTGCAACTGCTCGAGCGGTTCGTGTATGTGCGAGTGCGTCCATAGAACTCTGCAGTTCACTGCAGTTGCAGCTTGAAGCTGTCGACCCTGACTGCTTCAAGCGGTCCGTGTATTGCCGGCCATAGTCAGATGCCTAGTAGATTACAGTCATGCGTGTACTTATTGCCGCCTACTCTTCAAATTAAATTTTTTTATTGCATAATAATATTAAGTATTTAAGTGTTTACAATTGGGTCTTCTCATGGCAAAGGGAATCTATGACGTCACAAGGTAGTATAGTAGGTAGTTCGTTAACTCGATTTGACTGTTGATTCCTTTCAAAAAATAATTTTAATTAGCTTTCATAATTAAAATGAAGTGTTTTTATAATAAGTTGTGTCTGAGTACTGTTTTGGAATTTATTAATTTTCGATTCGCAATCGATTAGGACTTAGGAGACTGCCTATCTTCCTAAAACCTCTTAATTTTAGGAAAATTAATAATGAAACAAGACATTCATTGAAACTTACATTTATTGTACTTAACAATCGACTCAGTCTTAAATCTTCATCAAAAAAATACTGTGAAGTAATTAGAATTAACACCTTAGAATCTAAGATTAACACTAGAATCTAGTAACTTAATCTATGGAATAGAATCATTAATTTATCGCCTACGTTTCTTCATTGGAGACTTGACTACTTCTTCAACATCGCCGTTCTGTTCATCTTCTTGTGGTTTCCTTCTTACGGGCCCGGTATGCGTGATGGGTACAGCTCTTTCATCTTTTTCCTTACAAGATTTCGGAGCCACGACAGTCAGGACGCCGTCTGAAGACAACCTTGATTCCACGGTCTCAGGATTACAGCCTTCTGGCAGAGCATATCTGCGCTTGAAACTTCTGGAAATATAGCCGTGCTCATCCTTCCTTTCTTCGTGGTTCCCCTCGATGACTATGAAACCATCGGACGTCTTCACTGATATCTCCTCAGGGTCGAAATGCTGCACGTCGATATTCACTTGGAACTTGTCCTTATCACTTTTGATGGTAGACCCGACGTCCCGTGACATTGCCGCCAAATTTCTCCAGGGGCGAATGTAGTGCCGCAGTTGAATACGCGGCCGGTCGAAGACATCGGTCAGCAAATCATCTGCCAAATCCAGCCCGAAGAGTTGGTCTCGAACTCGACGAGGTCTAAAATCGTCCAACAAATACGGTAGAAGGGCCATTGTAATGTTGTTGAATGAAATTCGCTTGTAGGTTTACTTTGTTGTTGCACAACTTGCACACAAGTCGCTTGGAACTCGCAGTTGATCAAAATGACTGCAGGTGGCGCGGTCTGCGTCGCTTTTATACGTCATTGAATGAATATACGAGAGGACTCGAGAGCCAAGTCGAATGTTCAAGAAAGGGTAAACAGCGCCATCTATTGTCGAGTGACTACATTATGTCCTATTCTAGAAATGCTCTGCAATGTGCTTATTTTTCGAGAAATCAAATTAGTTTTTTAAATAAATGGCCTAATACCTAACTAAATCAAATTTTAATAGTTCTAATAATAATAAAATTTTCTTCTAATATGATAAGATAGACAATCAATGTTTTTTAAATGCCACCTCGCTAAAGCAGCGTCATCTACATGCGAATAATTTAATTATACAGTACTGCTCACTACTACTCACCGACAGATGGCATTAAAGTATCGTAGCAAAAAATTCAAGTCATGGTCAGTGTTGAGTGATGTGATAATTTTTTTAATGAAAAATGATGAATTAAAAATTAAAATTGGAAAATGGAAAAAAATTGAAATTGAATTTATTTGTTAATTCAGTTCAAGTTCATTTGACCATTGAAACTTCGGTAGCAGAACTTAGAGTAAAATTATTCTAACAATAGGCTATGTTACATTCGTTACCCACATTTCTAAAAAAAAACGCTATTTTAAGCAGATGGGAAACTAGGTGCAATGAAATGAATATTTTACTACGTTCTGAAATAAAAATAGTCATTTGGTCTACTAACCTATAAATCTTGAAAGCATCATTCATGTTTCTTACACCTTACTACGACAAACTACTGATTTAGTGATTAGGTCATTGACTCATATCCCATTTTTGCTGATAGCCGCTCACTACGAGATAGCAACAGTCTCACATGAAAACCACGTGGTGATTAAATTATCATTTTTTATACATTATTTCCCGCCACTACTTGAACACAAGTCTGGCATGCTTTAATTTAACCTAAAAATTCTAGAAAAATCCCGAAACAACGCTTCTCTTTGTAGGTTCTTACTTTAGGACAATAGAAAACCTTAAAAATAGACAATGTTACCGTTTTGGTGGATTACATTGTCTTTAGATATGACCCTTCTTTTCTTTATTCTATAATTTGTGTCCACTAAAAATAGAAAATAGAAAAGTAGGACCTAAGTTAAGTAGGCCTATCTTACTTTTATAATTATCTTACTTATTTGTTAAATGCAGAGCCTCTAACAGAGAGGGACTTTAATAATTAAATTATAATTAATTTACGTTATTGATTCGGTTCCTGGGCTAGAGCCTAGAAATAGCCCAGGACAGGCAAGTGGAGCAAGATGGAGGAATTTTGCCCACACAGACAGGGTGCCACAAGAATTAGCAAAACATATGTATTTTATTTAAAATAAAAGCTTTTCATTTATTTTTTAATTCGGTTTTATTAGTAAGTCTGAATATTTAAGACCTCATATTAAATAGCTACCTACCTAACTATACCTTATTATACCTATTTAAAACCTACCATCAAAACTAAGAGTAAAATACTAATCATGATTTCATGACTAAAACTTAATAAAAATGAGTAAAGATGATGATGACTAATTAATACCCTACTAGCGTTAGTAATATTTCTAAAAAATGGTGCAAACGTTATTTTTTACTGATTTCAATCTTGTTATTTGATAGAGAAAGCGTAATTAGGTTACCTAAAACGTCATATAAAATTTCATAGCATTGTTGCATCAAAAATAAACGTAAATAAAATATTAATTATTAATAAATCAATACCGGCCGGTACTATCGCCAGTAGTTAGGTAGGTAGGTACATACTTTGGACAACTCTAGAACAAAATAATGTTGCTATACCTAGCGTATGAAATATTACAGTTTACAAAGTGTACAAAATTTTATATTCGTCATTCGACTCTAAAACAATTACAGACAAGTACCTGCTAAGTCAATCATTCTGAAATAATAATTTCATGCATGTGAAACCGTAGGTAAAAAGGAGAATCTTTGATAAATTAAAGCGTATTTTATTTTGATGTTATACTTTCAACAAAATACCTTTATTCTGTAACTTTTGTACATGAAAGAGTAACAAATCAACATTCTCACAAACTATCACATTTATAACAACTTTACCAAAATTATATTGCGCTAGAAAACACTACAGGGTGTTAGGTAAATGGGTATATGAGCTGACACTAGCCCATGTTAACATATAAATGGTATGGTGAAGTCAGAAATTTGATATCATCATTTTATTTTTTTTATTTTCATACAAAAAAAAATTAAAGTCTGGTTTGTATGAAAATTAAAATAATTAAAATGAAGATATTACTATCAACTTTCTGACTTCACCATACCATGGGCTAGTGTCGGCTCATATCCCCTATTTATTTTTACTTGTCTTGCGATTAGAAATATGTCTATATTTTATTTATACACGCGTATATCATTATAATCCATGTTTTAAATGGAATTATTCTTGCTCTATTATTATTATTAAATTTTAATCAATTTCATTGTCCAGTAAGATAATTAATTAGTCCCCAACACTAAAAAAGTAATGTCAAAAAAAAATGTAAATAAAAAGAAACATTAGTAAATAAATAAAAAATACGTCATTTTTCATTGCATTGCATTATTAAAACAAACAACACTATTTATCAAAATATCAAGTAGGTAGTGAGTCACTACCTTTGATTTGTATAAAGTCACTACTAGTGACTTTATACTTTCTTACACAATTCATAACAATTTTATATCCTGGTATCACAGGAAATATCATTGATTCTTCGGACGGAAGTTACTAGTGAACACGGCGGCGACTAGACGAACTAGCAACCGGATATGCCTGGAATGTTCTAGAAGAAATTTTAAGAATCGTAAATTTCACTGTTTTCTAAATAAAAAGTATAATTTTATAAGCACCGTTTTTCATATTATTGAATTATGAAACCTATAGTTAAGATTTTAAACCAGTATTATATTGAGAAATACTGTAATATTAAATTGTTCTCGAAAGTTCTCGAATGTTCCAGAACATTTCTACAGAAATCGTCCAATCGATAGTAGCGCCATCTTGTGTTGAGTGGAGAGATGACGTCATTTGCAAGAGGGCTCACAAACCTTTGGTAAACTTTTAAGATAAATACTATTTTGTAAATAGTTTTTATCGTTAGTAATTTTAAATTTTTAGTTTTTAAGTAATTTTAAGTTAATGTATTATTATAAAATTTATTATCTTAATGTTCATCGTCTTAAAATACTAATTATTATTTATTTATGAAGTACCTAACCTTTGTGATAAATGTAACGCGAATCAGTGTACATGTACTTCCAAACTGTATAATTGTACATTGTGTTCCTAAACGCATTATGTATTTTCAAAGATATCATTCTTAATAGTTTTATCAAAATTGTGATCTAGTTATCTAGTCTTTTTGTACATAATTTTCATTGAAAAGTTATGCAAATCATTCATTATTTTAAGTAATAAATAATGTGATATTGATATTTTTACATGAAGGTTTTTACATGGTTATCGAATTTTGCATGAAAAATAATTTTATTATGTCGAAATGAAAAATATTAATTAATGCCACAGATAATTTATAATACTAGTTTAATGCTAATGCCATTTATGATTCTTTGAAGTGATCTTATTAACATCCTAGAGTGCCAGGAATTAAAAAAGAGCACTTTGTATAATAATATTTATGTTTTGAACTTTTGAAAAAATAAATTATTTTCTTTTAGTTTTGTTTAATTTTAGGTGGCCCGGCGAACTTTGTTCGTACTAACCAATCAATTAAAAAAAAGACTTTTGCACATTGATCGAAGTTTTCATACGGATTCCTAACTTTATTGATTATAATTAATTTATCACCTTTATTCATCAGGGTTAAAATTAAACATTGTTTAACTTTAGAAGCCTTATTTACACCCTGCTGCAGCCAAGACCTGGACGTTTTTTTGCTGTTAAAATAAACTAAATTTTACCAGGTTTTATTATACGTCCATTGGATATAGTGGCCAGTTTCGGACAGATAGATAATAATTTTAGATATTTAACTTTTTTTGTATAAATAAATATATTCTATCCAGCGAATTAAATAAAAATTAAAAAAAATGATTTTAACTAGTTATAAGAATATGTAATGTTGATTTTTTTTTTAAATCGGTCCAGTAGTTTCAGTGCCTATTTAATACAAAAATACAAATCTTGCCTCTTTATAATATTAGTCTGCTTACCTTTCGTAAAAGTGTTCGTAATTAAAGTGAAATAAGAACGTATTGAAATTATTTATTTAGATAAAATCATCTACTAAGTGAAGAAATTGCAATTTTGATTAACCCTCATAGTTTTATAAGAGCCGTTACATTTTGAACTACAATAATGTACANCGTGGTGATCAAATTATCATTTTTTATACATTATTTCCCGCCACTACTTGAACACTGGCACGTTTTATTTTAACCTAAAAATTCTAGAAAAATCCCGAAACAACGCTTCTCCTTGTAGGTTCTTACTTTAGGACAAAAGAAAATTTTAAAAATAGACAATGTTGCAGTTTTGGTGGATTAGTGTCTATTTAGATATGGCCCTTCTTTTCTTTATTCTATAATTTGTGTCCACTAAAAATAGAAAACTAGGACCTAATTTAAGTAGGCCTATCTTACTTTTATATCTTACTTAATTGTTAAATGGAGAACTTCTAACAGAGAGGGACTTTAATAGTTAAATTATAATTAATTAACGTTATCAGAATCAATAACGTTCCTGGGCTAGAGCCTAGAAATAGCCCAGGACAGTCAAAAGTGGAGCAAGATGGAAGAATTTTGCCCACACACTCAGATGCCACAAGAATTTGCAAAATATAAAATATTTTTAATGAAAAAAAGCTTTTTGTTTATTTATTGATTCTGTTTTATTATTATGTAAGTCCGAATATTTAAGACCCTAAATCCCTAATCATCGATTAAATAGCTACCTAACTTATTATAACTATTTAAAACCTACCACCAAAACTAAGAGTAAAATACTAATCATGATTAAAACTTAATAAAAATGAGGAAAGATGATGATGACTAATTAATAACCCTGCTAGCGTTAGTAATATTTCTAGAAAATGGTGCTTATTTTTTAATGATTTCAATCTTTTTATTTGATAGAGAAAGCGTAATTAGGTTACTTAAAACATCATATAAAATTGCATAGCATTGTTGCATCAAAAATAAACGTAAATAAAATAATTATTAATAATAAATCAATACCGGCCGGTACTATCGCCAGTAGTTAGGTAGGTACATACTTTGGACAACTCTAGAACAAAATAATGTTGCTATACCTTGCGCATGAAATATTACAGTTTACAAAGTGTACAAAATTTAATATTCGTCATTCGACCGAAACAATTACAGACAAGTAGGTACTAAGTCAATCATCCCAACTAATATTATAAATGCGAAAGTAACTCTGTCTGTCTGTCTGTCTGTCTGTTACGCTTTCCCGCTTAAACCTCGCAACCGATTTTGATGAAATTTGGCATAGAGATAGTTTGAGTCCCGGGAAAGAACATAGGATAGTTTTTATCCCGGTTTTTGAAACAGGGACGCGCGCGATAAAGTTTTTCTATGACAGACAAAATTCCACGCGGGCGAAGCCGCCGGCGGAAAGCTAGTTCTGAAATATGTAATAACTTCATGCGTGTGAAACCGTAGGTAAAAGGGAGAATCTTTGATAAATTAAAGCGTATTTCATTTTTTTTATGTTATCCTTTTAACAAAATACCTATATTCTGTAACTTTTGTTGTACATGAAAGAGTAACAAATCAACATTCTCACAAACTATCACATTTATAACAAATTTACCGAAATTATATTGCGCTAGAAAACACTATAATATTAATTATACTTGTAAAACAGCATTAAAAATAAACCTAATACTTTTTTTTACTTGTCTTGGGATTAGAAATATCACTATGTTTTATACACACACATTTCATTATAATCCATGTTTTAAATGGAATTATTTTTGCTATATTATTATTATTATAATATTTTAATCAATTTCATTGTCGAGTAAGATAATAAATTAATTAGTCCCCAACCCTAAAAAAGTAAATGTCAAAATAAAAAATCATAAATAAATAAAAAATACGTCATGTTTCATTGCATTACCATTAAAACAAACAACACTATTTATCAAAATATGAAGTAGGTAGTGACTTTATAGTTTCTTACACAATTCATAACAATTTTATATCCTGGTATCACAGGAAATATCATTGATTCTTCGGACGGAAGTTACTAGTGAACACGGCGGCGACTAGACGAACTAGCAACCGGATATGCCTGGAATGTTCTAGAAGAAATTTTAAGAATCGTAAATTTCACTGTTTTCTGAATAAAAAGTATAATTTTATAAGCACCATTTTTCATATTATTGAATTTCAAAACCTATAGTTAACATTTTAAACCAGTATTATATTGAGAAATACTGTAATATTAAATTGTTCTCGAAAGTTCTCGAATGTTCCAGAACATTTCTACAGAAATCGTCCAATCGATAGTAGCGCCATCTTGTGATTAGTGGAGAGATGACGTCATTTGCAAGAGGGCTCACAAACCTTTGGTAAATTTTTAAGATAAATAATAATTATTATTATTTATTTATGAAGTACCTAACCTTTGTGATAAATGTAACGCGAATAAATGTACATGTACTTCCAAATTGTATAATCGTACAATGTGTTCCTTTTGATTTTCGGAAATTTTAAGGGTACATTCTTTGAATAAAATTTTTTAGAAATTTCATAATAACAAACATGATTGTGTTCCTAAACGCATATGTATTTTTAAAGATATCATTCTTAATAGTTTTTCCAAAATTATCACCTAGTGATCTAGTCTTTTTGTACCTCTACATAATTTTTATTGAAAAGTTATGAAAATCATTCATTATTTTAAGTATAAATAATGTGATAATGATATTTTTTACATGAAGGTTTTTACATGGTTATCGAATTATTTTGCATGAAAAAGAATTTTATTATGTCCAAATGAAAAATAGTAGGTAATTAATTTTTTTTTTTTGACTATCCCGCGTAGGTAATTAATGCTAATGCCATTAAATTTGATTCTTTGAAGTGATCTTATTAACATCCTAGAGTGCCAGGAAATAAAAAAGAGCACTTTGTATAATTTTATGTTTTGAACTTTTGAACCAAATAAAATAATTATTTTCTTTCAGTTTTGTTTAATTTTAGGTGGCCTGGCGAACTTCGTTCGTACTAACCCTAAATCCATTTAAAAAAATGACTTTTTTTGCACATTGATCTAAGTTTTCATACAGATTCCTAACTTTATTGATTATAATTAGGTAATTAAGAGTTAAAATTAAACATTGTTTAATGACTATAAAAGACTGTAATATGTGCAAACCTGATGAAACCATTATTACAAATAAAATTATCGCTACTTTAATTTGGTTTATTTCATGTACCTACTTGGGTTAGTAACTTTAGAAGCCTTATTTACACCCTGCTGCAGCCAAGACCTGGACGTTTTTTGTTGCTGTTAAAATAAACTAAATTTTACCAGGTTTTATTATTATACGTCCCTATCCAGCGAATCAAATAAAGTAGGTACCTACCTTTGTTCATCAGGAAACAAAAAATGATTGTAACTAATTATAAGAATTGTTTTTTTTTTAAATCGGTCCAGTAGTTTCAGAGCTTATTTAATACAAACATACAAAAATACAAATCTTTCCTCTTTATAATATTAGTCTGCTTACCTTTCGTAAAAGTGTTCGTAATTAAAGTGAAATAAGAACATATTGAAATTATTTGTTTAGATAAAATCATCTACTAAATGAAGAATTTGCAATTTTGATTGACTCTAGTAGTTTTATAAGAGCCGTTACATTTTGAACTTTAATAATGTACTTAATATACCAACGCGTATTGACCCCTGGCTTGAAGCGCGCCAAATCTAGAAATTTCCATTCGTTCATAGATGTCGCTGTCGGCCGAGAGTATAAAAGCAAACTGACAGCTAGCGGCGGCGTTATTTGTGAAATTATCAAGAGACAAGTCAAACGCGAGTCGCTGTGTGAATATCACACGTGTTCTTACAAAACTATAAGTGAAGTTGCTGTTTTTGAGTGAAAAGTAAAACTACCAAGATGCCGGAAGAGATGCAGACACAGGGCGAGGTGGAAACCTTCGCCTTCCAGGCGGAAATCGCCCAGCTCATGTCACTGATCATCAACACATTCTACTCGAACAAAGAGATCTTCCTTCGGGAGGTGATTTCAAACTCTTCAGACGCTTTGGACAAGATCCGGTATGAGTCACTCACTGATCCTTCAAAGTTGGACAGCGGCAAGGAGCTGTACATCAAGATCGTGCCAAACAAGAGCGAGGGCACGCTGACGATCATCGACACCGGTATCGGCATGACAAAGGCCGATCTCGTGAACAACTTGGGTACGATCGCGAAGTCCGGCACAAAGGCTTTCATGGAGGCGCTGCAGGCTGGCGCCGACATCAGCATGATCGGTCAGTTCGGTGTGGGTTTCTACTCGTGCTACCTGGTCGCCGACCGCGTGACGGTCCACTCGAAGCACAATGACGACGAGCAGTACATGTGGGAGTCGGCCGCTGGAGGTTCCTTCACCATCCGGCCCGACCACGGCGAGCCCCTCGGCCGCGGTACCAAGATCGTTCTTCACATCAAGGAGGACCTGTCGGAGTACTTGGAGGAGCACAAGATCAAGGAGATCGTGAAGAAGCACTCGCAGTTCATCGGTTACCCCATCAAGCTTGTGGTTGAAAAAGAGCGGGAAAAGGAGTTGTCTGATGACGAGGCTGAAGAAGAGAAGAAAGAGGACGACAAGGAGGATGACAAGCCCAAGATTGAGGACGTAGGAGAGGACGACGAGGAGGACAAGAAAGACAAGAAAAAAAAGAAGACTATCAAGGAGAAATACACTGAAGATGAGGAGCTGAACAAGACCAAGCCCATCTGGACGAGGAATGCCGATGACATCACCCAGGAGGAGTACGGCGACTTCTACAAGTCGCTGACCAACGACTGGGAGGACCATTTGGCCGTCAAGCACTTCTCTGTTGAGGGTCAGCTTGAATTCCGCGCGCTTTTGTTCGTGCCCCGCCGCGCGCCTTTCGACCTCTTCGAGAATAAGAAGCGCAAGAACAACATCAAACTGTACGTCCGCAGAGTCTTCATCATGGACAACTGCGAGGATCTCATCCCAGAGTACCTGAACTTCATCAAGGGCGTGGTCGACAGCGAGGACCTGCCCCTCAACATCTCCCGTGAGATGCTCCAACAGAACAAGATCCTCAAAGTAATCAGGAAGAACCTTGTCAAGAAATGCCTGGAACTGTTCGAGGAGTTGGCCGAGGACAAAGAAAACTACAAGAAGTACTACGAGCAGTTCAGCAAGAACCTGAAGTTGGGCATCCACGAGGACTCCCAGAACAGGTCCAAGTTGGCAGACTTGCTCCGTTACCACACATCAGCCTCTGGTGATGAGGCGTGCTCCCTCAAAGAGTACGTGTCTCGCATGAAGGAGAACCAGAAACACATTTACTACATCACCGGGGAGAACCGTGACCAGGTTGCCAACTCTTCATTCGTTGAGCGAGTCAAGAAGCGTGGCTATGAAGTGGTCTACATGACCGAGCCCATCGATGAGTACGTAGTCCAGCAAATGAGGGAGTACGATGGCAAGACGCTGGTGTCCGTCACCAAGGAAGGCTTGGAGTTGCCTGAGGATGAGGAGGAAAAAAAGAAGCGTGAGGAGGACAAAGTCAAGTTCGAGGGCCTGTGCAAGGTCATGAAGAACATCTTAGACAACAAAGTTGAGAAGGTTGTCGTCTCAAACCGTCTAGTCGAATCTCCGTGCTGTATCGTCACAGCCCAATACGGTTGGTCAGCCAACATGGAGCGTATCATGAAGGCCCAGGCTCTGCGTGACACGTCCACCATGGGTTACATGGCAGCCAAGAAGCACTTAGAAATCAACCCCGACCACTCAATTGTGGAGACGCTGAGGCAGAAGGCCGAGGCTGACAAGAACGACAAGGCTGTCAAGGATCTCGTTATCCTGCTGTACGAGACTGCCCTGCTGTCGTCTGGTTTCACCCTTGACGAGCCTCAGGTGCACGCTTCCCGCATCTACAGGATGATCAAGCTGGGTCTTGGCATCGATGAGGACGAGCCCATCCAGGTCGAGGAGTCCAGCGCTGGAGACGTGCCCCCTCTTGAAGGCGACGCCGACGACGCGTCGCGTATGGAGGAGGTCGATTAAATCTTTTATCCGCCTATTTAAACCCATGTGTATGGTGAATGTGTCGCAGAAACGTTTTGTGCGTACACTGGTGTACAGCCAAAGACTGATTTAGTTCAAATTCCATTATTATTATTATTGAAATAAATGGTAACCTTATCAAATTATTTCGTTGTTTATATTTCCCTGTTATTCTCTGTTCATAGTTATGAATTAGGCAGGCACACAGAGTGTACAAACACTGAGACACTACAGACACACTACTATTATAATACAGGATCAGACTGTTTATTTTATTTATTTGGCACAGCCACAATACAATTCGAAATAAAATTACAATGATAACTAGGTTTCACATTTAAATTATATTCCTGAATGTTGCAATTTTAATTTGATTTAATGTTATACAATTTAAAAGTAACTGCTCATAATAAATTATACACTACCAAAACACTTTTTTACACACTACACACTTCATAAGTACAAAACGAGAGAGAAATACTAGGTGGTCTCATCACTAATTCACTAAGGCGATATTTCCAGACAAGACAGCTTGATATTTGGCTAAAGTTGTTATAAATTACTAAATAATAATAATAATATCATTTATTTCAGATAAACAGTATCCATATGGGTTAGTAACAATTTGTGCTTAAATAATAAATGGTTAGTAAAAATATTTCAAACAAAATTAAATTAAAATTAAAATGGGCATCAAACAATCAAAACTAAAGCCCTAGACTAGGAGAGTAATGTCTAAAGGCCCCTAGCGGTTGCCTCTTTTAGTGATTAATCCAAATAAATTTGGACATAAGGCGAACTTAATGAACTAAAGCATTCTCAACCAGACAGACAAGTGTAGTACACATTATTATTAAATTGCACGTTAAGGGGGAGGAGGGGGTTGACGAACTGTGACAAGGGGTGGGAGGGGTTCCAATTTTCGTGACAAAATGTGACAAGCTCGCTTCCACCTTCGGCCTGATCATCATTTATCATCAGGTCAGTGAGATACAGGCCAAGAGCTTTCCTCGTTGTGTAAAAATTAAAAAGGTGAGGGAGGGGCTCTAAAATCATGATATTCGTGTGACTTAATTCAGAATAACGGTGCCTATTGTAATATCACTACTTATCTACGAATATTTACAACATGGCTTAGAAATAGTAGTATCAGGCGTTACCATACCATACTGTTAGCAGATTTTCAGTAGGTTTAGGATTTGTCGATAAATATTTCTGTTTTCTCAATACGTAACCTAGGTAAGTACTTAGGTATTTAGTAAAAAAAAAAACTACCATTCCTTAAGTTTATCGGTGATTTTATTATTACCTTACTTTGCTTTGTATATGTAGATAGTTTTACTCAAATTACGAAGACTAGAAAGTTTAGTGCATTGACACCTTGGCAAGCTTGTCAGACTGGCTACTGAATGAAATCGATAGAAAATTCTCGAGCAAGCGCATTGGAATAGCATCATTGCACATCGGGCGGTGCAGCTGTTGAGCTGTTGTCATTCTCATGCACAGCCAGGTGCCCATCTTGAATTCAATTAGGGTTTTCGCGATTGAAAAATCCGCCAGATGGCGGGACGTGGATGTAAGGTCTGACTGCTGCGTGATTGGTGGATTTTGACATATCTGTCAATGTCATGTCAAAAATAACCAATCATGCAGCATTTGAAACTTGCGTCTACGTATTGCCATCTGGCGGATTTTTTAATCGCGAAAACCCTCATTACCATCTGGCAATTAATTTGTCTTCCCCAATGCTTTCCATGTTTCCCGGTTGGTAGCGGCCTACGTCCAGCACTCCAGCGCCTTCCTGCTACTTTTACGATGTCGTCGGTCCACCTAGCGTTGTGGGTGAGTGGATTGGGCGAGGCCTATGTTCAGCCGTGGACGTCCTATGGCTGAGATGATGATGAATTAATTTGTCTGTTAAGTAGGTACCTACTATAACTTTTCGAGCGAGACAGACCACATTTAAGTGGTATTCTTAATCTTGTTCCTTCATTAATAATAAAAGTTACTCACCTTACTAATTCATACTTAAACTTCTTACCTAAGTACCTACCTAAGGTAACCGCAGTACTTATCCAAATAGACGTACCAAATAAACTGGTTTGTTAAAGAAACGGCAATAAGATGTGTTTTGTCAGTCTGGGAACATTTATTATTCTAAAATCTTAGCCCTTCGTATTACCTGCCAGAATGCCCGGAATAATAGAACCCCATTTTTTCTCACAACGCTTACAAAGGACCAAGATACTGTTAAACTGTAGCCCGTGAGAGCAGATGTATTGTTAATAATACCATAAACTACCCCTGAGCGGCCATTTTGTGCAGTTCGAGAATATTCTAGGGCGTGCGACACGACCTAGATAAAGTCAGAATCGATACAGCCCCGCCCGCGATGCAAGGCGAAAAATCTAGATATTTCGGTACCTACTCACTGACAGTAAAATCTGCGCAATGTTTGTTGATCGTATGTTTGCGTAAACAAGTCGTTAAGGTGAGTGTCGCGAAACTTCCATGTAACAATAACAATATTTTTTTACGTTTCTCCTTTCATCATTTTAGTTATTTTTATTTAAAGATATGTAATATTATACATACTTAAAATTGATTTGTCATAAATCGACGTGACCTACTACACCCGCTCTTCTATGATCTGAGGTTGCGCACCATTTGATTTAAAATGCCAAAGGTCGCGGGTTCGATCTCGCATGTTCGATGATTTCAATCATTTTGGTTAGCCAAACATTAACTAAAAAGTACTAAAACTAACTAACTATGACAAAGGCATACCATTATCACATGACAACGGTGGCGTGGTCTATAAAGTAAAAATACCTATTTTATGTGTTTTTATAGGAAGCATGGTGGGCATCATTTGTCTCTTTGAATGCTGGCTGTCTACTTGCTTATCCTAAACTTATAATAATGCATTAAAGTATGCAAGTAGGTCTGAAACTGTTAAGAAGTTTATTATTGTAAGTTACAAAATATCAAAATTAAGCTAGAAACTAAACAATAGAGAATACGAATGTATCCAAAAGGCGACCAGTTTTAATGTACTTAGTACTTAATTTACTACTGAATTTGAAATTAAGAAAGTACATAGTTTCGTACTGTCTGGATGCACCGCCAGATGAAGCAGACGGGGTAATCAATAACTCCACCGCCCCCGCCATCCCTCGTTCCCGAACAGTCTGGAAATTTCTACTCCCACCCCTCGAATGTTCCACCAACACTTGTAGAATGTTTGTTTTTGTTTGTTTACTAGATGTCCTAGCAATTTTGGAAATATGAATTCTGGAAAATCTTTAAAAACACTAGTTAACTCTTAAAGAGTACCTACCTACTTAGTTAGCTGTAAATTAGTTAAAAAAATATTTTCACTGCTTATTTGTCATAGGTTCATAGTTTCATTGCTTTATTTACTTTAATTTAATTATGTACGGCGGTTTTGAAAATTTAAGTAGGGTTATTCCCAACAAATACCTGTTTCTAAACTACTTTGGATTTTTTGGATCTAAAAATAAAAATAACGACCAGGAAATTTTATTCACGCTGACCGAAGTGTAAACAAGTTTATTTTTACATAGAACCTAAAAATAAAAATGAGATTTTGTAACATGGACTAATCAAAAGTGGATAATATTTAATATCTCGAAATCTGAATTAAAATTATTAGTTAAAATTAAATAAGTAACCTACCTACTTAAGTTCTTAAATAAACTGTAACTGTAAGCAAGATTTGTAAAAAGAAATTTGTATTTTAATAATAAACTATTGAATTTAAATGTTGCATTTTCCTTCTAACCCCAATCCAATTATTTTAATTACTTGTGGTAAAGGAACTTTCAAAGTTAGAGATAATAGTGTAGCTTTCACTAAAAAACTGATGCAATCTTCAAGATTATTGGACATTCACAGACAGCTTCTACTTTAATTTATTCAAATAAATCATAACGTTAGTCACCAGTTCATTGATCTGCCATCAACAACCTTAGTCAACCAACAACAAAATAATAAGGTCATCAAAATTTCCGCGCCCACCACCTACGCATATTTTTTTTTATTTCAAACCTTGATGCGTCAGATTTCCCGCCAAAAAAGATACATCTTCGCGCCATAAAATTATTTTTGACAATTCAGTTCAGAGATGCAAAAGGAACTGTAACATTTTCGATAAGCCCCGAGAAATCTTAAGGGTAGAAATTTCTCGAGTGACATTGACTCAACCCTGCGGCAAACATCTGTTACGTCAAAACAATGACTAGTTTATTGCCGTCTCGCTCGCGCACGCGTACTGTGTGCGTCGATGCGGTGCTTTCTAGAGGATTCTCCCATTTCTGCGGGATACCAGCTGTAGATTTTAGAATTACCCCAAAAAACACATCTTTGTGTTTTGGGTTAGTCTAAAATACCTCACCAACACCAAACGTCGTTGTAATTTTACACTGAAGATGTTCTAGCAAATGTCTTATTTAAATTTATATTACATTTATTTTTCTCCATAATTATTAAGTTTTTATGGTTTTTTAAAAATAATTCCAATATTTTTTTAATCAATATAAATACAACTGAAACGAATCAGTGTATCACAAAATAAACACCTATTAGTTCTCCGTATTATGGAACTAAATTTTATTAATTTATTTATTTTAGTGATTATAATAATTAACCTTTAAAAAGGTACCTATTTATTTATTATTTTTTATAAATCTTCATTAATATTTTTTTTTATTTAATTAAACACATTTAATAATAATTCAGTTCTTATATGAGTATTGTTCCGATCGAACCGAATAGATAGTGTGATTCTATTCTATTACTTTTGCTCCTGAGTGTATTTATTAAAAAATAAAAATACAATAACATTTAAAAAAAATTGTCAAATGTATAGTAGATGCACCAAGTTTCCCTAAAATAGGGTAACTTTTCTCTTGTCGGCCACCCTACCCCAATATTTTTATTGTCTGTCTCCTTTCCAGAAGGTCGCGTTGCCATTGGTCGGCGCGCTACTGTTCCAGAATGTTCGATATTTAGCGCGTTCTGATTGGCTCGCTCGAGCGGTTTGGAGAAGCTTCTAGAACCCTATTCGCTGGGATATATAAGCGGCCGGCTCGCGGCGGGAAGCCAGATACATTTGAAACGCGAAAGTAAACAGACGAAGAGAAGAGTTCGGTGCAAACCGAAGCTATTTTAACAAGTGAATTATCAAACAAGTATTACTAGTGCGAAGTATTATCAAGAAGTCAAAATGCCAGCTATTGGAATTGATCTTGGAACCACCTATTCCTGCGTCGGAGTTTGGCAACATGGAAACGTGGAAATCATCGCTAACGATCAAGGCAACCGCACGACACCATCCTACGTCGCATTCACGGACACGGAGCGGCTCATCGGCGATGCGGCGAAGAACCAGGTCGCTCTCAACCCCAGCAACACGGTGTTCGACGCGAAAAGGCTGATTGGACGCAAATTCGACGACCCCAAGATCCAGGCAGACATGAAACACTGGCCCTTCAAGGTGATCAACGACTGCAGCAAACCTAAGATCCAGGTGGAGTTCAAAGGTGAAACTAAGAGGTTCGCGCCTGAAGAAATCAGCAGCATGGTACTCACGAAGATGAAGGAAACAGCCGAAGCCTACCTCGGGACCAGCGTGCGCGACGCCGTCATCACTGTGCCGGCCTACTTCAATGACTCCCAGCGCCAGGCCACCAAGGACGCGGGAGCCATTGCCGGCCTGAATGTACTGCGCATCATCAACGAGCCCACGGCCGCCGCGCTCGCCTACGGCCTCGACAAGAACCTCAAAGGCGAAAGGAACGTGCTCATCTTCGACCTCGGAGGCGGAACCTTCGATGTTTCAGTCCTCACGATCGACGAAGGCTCCCTGTTCGAAGTGAAATCGACTGCCGGCGACACACATCTTGGAGGTGAGGACTTCGACAACAGATTGGTGAATCATCTTGCGGATGAGTTCAAGCGCAAATACAAGAAAGATTTACGCATGAACCCACGCGCTTTGCGCCGCCTCCGCACCGCCGCCGAGCGCGCCAAGCGTACGCTGTCGTCTAGCACGGAAGCCACCATCGAGATCGACGCGCTGTATGAAGGCATCGATTTCTACACGCGCGTTTCTCGCGCCCGCTTCGAGGAGCTCAACGCAGACCTGTTCCGCGGCACCCTCGACCCGGTGGAGAAGGCGCTGAAGGACGCGAAACTTGACAAGAGCCAAATCCACGATGTCGTCCTCGTCGGCGGCTCCACCCGCATCCCGAAAGTGCAAAGCTTGCTTCAGAACTTCTTCTGCGGCAAGAAGCTGAACCTATCCATCAACCCTGACGAGGCAGTCGCCTACGGAGCTGCCGTTCAAGCCGCTATCCTGACTGGCTCCACTGACTCGAAGATCCAGGACGTCTTACTAGTGGATGTGGCCCCCCTGTCACTCGGTATCGAGACCGCCGGCGGCGTCATGACGAAGATCATCGAACGCAACTCGAAGATCCCATGCAAGCAGTCGCAGACCTTCACCACGTATTCAGACAACCAGCCGGCCGTCACCATCCAGGTGTACGAAGGCGAGCGTGCGATGACGAAGGACAACAACTTGCTAGGTACGTTCGACCTGACGGGCATCCCACCGGCGCCGCGCGGCGTGCCCAAGATCGACGTCACCTTCGATATGGACGCCAACGGCATCCTGAACGTGTCAGCCAAGGAGAACAGCACAGGCCGCAGCAAGAACATCGTGATCAAGAACGACAAAGGAAGGCTGTCGCAGGCTGAGATCGACCGCATGCTGTCAGAGGCGGAGAGGTATAAGGAGGAGGATGAGAAGCAAAGACAGCGTGTGGCAGCTCGAAACCAGCTGGAGTCATACGTGTTCAGCGTGCGACAAGCCCTGGATGATGCGGGAGAGAAGCTGAGCGAGCAGGATAAGAGCACAGCCAGGAATGAATGCGATGAGGCCCTGCGCTGGCTGGACAACAACACCTTGGCTGAGCAGGAGGAGTACGACCACAAGCTGAAGGAAGTCCAGCGCGTGTGCTCGCCCATCATGAGCAAAATGCATGGCGGCGGCCAGGGCGCGCCCGGCGGGATGCCCGGCGGCATGCCCGGCGGCTACCAGCAGCCCAGGAACGACGGGCCCACCGTGGAGGAAGTCGACTAAAGAGACACCAAACATTTAGGTTCCTTTAATTCCATTCAAGTTCTTAAGTTTGTTGTTTAATGTGATATTAATTTATAAGACTGATATTTATTGAGTTTGCAACAGGTGATCATCTATTTGGACGTTAAATAAATGATAATACTAATTATTTCTATGTTTCATTGAATATTCCCTAGCATCCCTAAGAAAACTTAAACCCATCATAGAAAGTAGTTAGGTAGGCACAATACACAACACATGTTAGTTAAAATAAATAATATCAAAAATATCTTGAAAACTCAGTCATACACATAGGAACACATAAAACCTCATTTAAAGTAGGCGCACACCGTTGATTTTTCGTCGGCCGATAGTTTAGTCGGGCAGTTGATCAGTATGGGCATGTATGGGAGTGCGCACACTACGCCGATTCGATTTGGCCGATTCTTCATACAATTTAAAATCGGGCACAACAACTATCGGCCAACTAAAAATCAACGGTGTGCGCCTACTCTTACACCTTCTAACTCAAACTTGGCAGTAACACTTACCTCCCCTCACCTAATTATGTACAGACAAAAAAACAATTACATAATTAATGAAAAAGACACATGATTCATTAGTACATTTTACTACAGACAGTATGACATAATACCCACCCATACCTATTGTTAGAAATAATAAAAATCACAATTTATGTCCGACGATTGTTCAAATCCTTGAACAACATAATGTTTGCGACTAAAATACGCGATGACAACATAAATAATGCATCATATTTGTTGTCTAAAATCTAGATCTAAAGACACGAGTCCTAATTTAGTCTGGCGGACAGAAATACCGTGATGCATAAGTTCGTGAGTTTACTATTATGGTCTCGCTAAAATTAGAATCTTGGATCTTGCCGTTCATCGTGATTCGTATCGGTTGTGTACCTACTACGAGTAAATTGTGTGTGACAAAATTCGAATGTCAAATCTTTAATAATTTACAACATGATAAATAAAGTCTTAAACTCAATGTTCTCAAAATCGTTTGTTTCAATCAACGATGTTTCTTGCACTGCCCCATTTATTGTCCTGAAGCAGTGGTAGGGTTAATACTGGGCCGTGTAAAAGTGCTTTTTTTAAGGTCTATTTGCAGAAATAAATGAGTTTTATGAGTTTAGTTTTTATGATTTAAAAAAAAGATTCACTTCCAAAAACAAAAATAATTTTCTGTCAAATACAAAAAACAGGCAGAATCACCCGTTTGGGATCGGACAAGATTTTTTATTATTATCTTTGATTACATAGTATTTTCTATTTTTGCACACATTTGGATCCATTCATGACTGAATTAAAAAAATATTTCAGTTTTCAGCCGTGGCTTTCAGCATCTCAGAGGCCTCAGAGCGTGCGTTTAGTAAAACATTTTCTAATATTACGATAGATGGCGTTAGTGGTTGAGCGAAAATGGTGTTGCTGAAAAATGGAAAAAAAGCGAATTGAGAACCCCCTTTTGTTGAAGTCGGTTAAAATATAAGTTAATCAGTTTGAGCTCCAATCTGGTTTCAAAGTTTCTAGAGAGACAATATTTTTTGTATAAGGATCCTATAATGTAGCGTAGATGATGGCTCTCTTGCAAGGGCAAGAAAAAAAAGAAAGAAGAAAATATTTATTTGACAACTAGACACACAAACATTAAAAGATTAAGCAAGAGAGGAGTTAATGTTATAATTTAGTGAAGCCCAGCAGCAATAACAAAGCAAAATTCATGTGCAGATGAGTTTGCTCGTAAACTTTTAACTTTAGCGGTCTAGCTAGAGTTTAAGCCTGAAAATTTTCCTTTTTATTAGGTGAATGAATGTGGGTACCATTTAAAATTCTTTTCCAACATTAAACGATTTTTTTTTGCAAATTTAATAATAGTTTTTTTTTACTGCCTATTTGTAGTTTGCTTAAANAAAACGAGATCCACGCGTACGAAGTCGCGGGCGGCCGCTAGTTTTTTAATAAAGATCTCATATCAAAATTTGATCCCAGCGGGATTCGAACTTGGCACACACTACACGACCCTCATTCAAGACTTCTCCAATCGGCATGCACTACTTAATCAATCGACGGCGAATCGTCTGTTCATTCGATATAAGATAGAATATCTAATCTGGTATTATCTCAATACCTTGAGATTATACTATAGCACAATAGTAGTCCAGTCGCCAGAGCGCATGCGTGCCATGAGCTGAAAATGGGCGAAGTGCAAAAAAACAATTCGTTTGTGCCTTTTCTGAGACAAGTAAGTTTGTTTTTTTTTATATTATTACAGAAGCAAAATCTTCTTTATTACATTAAAGAAAGTAGTAGAAAGTTTGTTGGAAATCATTAATTTTACGTTGAAAATGTGCAATATTGCTAGAATTCATAAACTTAGTAAGACTTTTCTTACTTTTAATATAATGTTTAAATTGTCTAAATCAATGAAGATTATCTTTATAGAAATTCAATTCTTATTTTATAAAGTTTATACATTTTTAATTAAATATCGATTGATCGAACTAGGTAGGGTTTTACCATTCCTACCAAGTGCAATTGGTACTTACCCAATAGGTAATTGATAAAGTTCACATTATAATTTCGTTTGTGAACTAGTGAAAGGCCCTTTTACCATAAAAAATGTATGGCAGAGTCACGTTATGATAGCTCATTATTAAAAGTAATTATTAACTGATTGGTGTAACACTACTCTTTGTTTTTGATGTAAATGAAAACCGTAATCTTTAAACGAGCGAAAATACATTTAGTTTAAAGTTAATGTTCTTTATTCATTACCCAACTTGAAAATTAACTAGGTAGTTATGTACTGCGGCATTTATAACAAAGGTTCTGTAATCTAAAGGCAATAGATTGATATTTCATGAAATCATTGACAGCTTTGGATTAAAAGAAATGACAACAATAGGTGATAACTTAGAAGGTGATAAGAGTGTCCATGTTAAAATAATACCTACAAATAGAGATTTTAATAGACGCGAGTATAAACGCGAAATGGAGGCAAAACGAATGTTCATTTAGGTAACTTCACCACAAAAAAATACATTTGAGGGCTCTATAAATAGGGGAAGGTTACATCTCCAATATTTGAGGGTTATCATGACGACTATACGTCACAAGTTGGAAATCACACTCGCACCATGACTCTACAAAACTATTTTGTAATAGACAAAATATAAATAAGTAAGTCAGTAACTACAAAAGAAAATCATCGAAAGACGAAGGAAAGGGTTGATTTTGGAGCTCAAATTATTTTGCGTGGGAAAAATCATGATGGGATGATTAGAAGTTGGTGTTTTTTGAGAATTCTGTTTTAAATTCAAATCATTAGTATCAACTAAGTACCTAGGCCCTTTTCAGAGCACTTTGGGAAACCTTATCGGCTGTTGCTGAGAAGTGGCGAAAGAAACTTGTCAGTCACCTTACTAATTGACTGATTACTGATGATAATTTATATGAAAAAGTTACTAATTTTTTTGTGGAAGATTGAACTTCCACCTTTTGGGGAAAGTTTTTGCTTTTGTACAGTAGAATCAATCTTTTTTTAATCCATTATAAATTATTCTTTGAGGATGATTCCATGCGCACGATTAGAAAATAAATCAATTCATTTTTATCTAGATTTATCTTGTCTTGATTCTTGAAGTAGCCAATTAGAGAAATTGCACACGCTCTTGAGTTACTATCACTTCACTTCATAGGTCATTGAATGGCATTGGATTAGAACTTAGAAGAACTAGTTCAATAAATTGAAATAAGTGCTTATGTATAATTACTCGTACCTACTTAAAGATATTAACCGTTCTTTTGTTCACGATATTCCTAAGTGCTGCGCAAACTTCAGATTTTGTAACTAAGAATTGTCGAATTTCCATGTAAGTCAAGAAGTTGGTTACGTACCTCCTTAACGAAGCAGGCATAACTAGGCATAAGTATTGATTCGTATTCAAATTCAAAATTTCAAATACGGGTTGTAAGGATGATAGGAACGATGTAGAGTCGCCATAGAACTTAAGAAAATAACCAGTTTGTGACCAGAAAATGGTCAGATACCCTCGTCAGATCTACATAATTTATCCTGCCTTCAGTCGAATGAACATTCACTGAGGTGGGGTTTCATAAGCTCAAAATTTTGGTTGCACAGGAGTTGCAGTGAACCAGAAGTCGTAATATTCCCATTTTAGACCTAGTTGGAACCTCCTACAGTTACTACTTAGTACAACCGGAAATGAGCTAGAATCTAGACTGCCTCAAGGTCTGAAAAAACATCATTAACCCTATAAATCTAGTGCTTTCAATGAATTAATAACCTGAAGCCTTGTCAGCCATATAGGTAACATACATTTATCTGATAATGATCACAACCTATTCATGAGCCAAGATTTTATCGCCTAAATAGGTGCTGGAATAACATAGTTATCTCTATATTACTATAATAACGTGCTTTAGATTATGAGCGCCATTGAAACTTATTGATAGACATATTGACGTTTATTAAATTGCCGACTGATTGAAACACGTGTTAAAATTGCTAGTTTGTATCTAACTTGTACAGGCGTGAGTTATTTAACAACCTAAGGGTTGTTATAACTCACGCCCGTATTCATAAACGATGCTTGGATAAGTGAAGCAGCATATCGAACGCACAGCGTTGAATAGAGTTCTGTGATTGGATAATGTGTCACCCTGTGCGTGCACGCGCACTGTGAGACCTCATAGTAATGTTTGTGACTACGGGCGTTAGTTAACTACTCTAATGTCACAACTCACAGATTTCAGTCACTTCAGTTTCAGTCTTTTGGCCAGTCTTTAAGGCCAGTAGTTAAGTTCAAGTACTACTTTTTTACTAGCCACACAGTAAACACTGCTAGCTGGCAAAGGGGATCTATGATATATATCGCAATACCTACGAGTAAGTATGTCGCCGTCACATGGTTCGCTATTTCAATCGAACATAAACGAATTTTACGGCAATTTGAACACTAATTTTGTCTGTCCTTCAGATGGTTTTTAAAAGAACTTGTGCCTTGAATTTATTAGTTAAAGGCGTCGACTAGTCAAATATCAGTTTTCACAAACCGTGCTACATTAGCAACGAATACGATACAATAGCAATAACTGGCGTGATACATCCGCC